CCTGGTGTACTTTTAGGGAGGTGCAATAAAAGTCTACTGGAAACTAATGAACAATGTACATTCTTAAGTGAAACATCACTCAATTTACATTTATTGACAACAATTTTAAACAGAAACACAATAAATACGACAAAAATGCCCATAAAATGTCTGTGGTGTACTTTGGGGAGGTGCAGTATACTTTGATCTAAGTCTCCTGTGAGTGGCTACATCAGAAGCTGATAGAAGAGAAATTTGATACCGAGCACTACCTTTGTCTATAAAACAGTGGTCTAATACAGTGTAAAACTGCGGCTGTCAACTTGACAAGTACAGTACAGTGTTATACTCAGGAAATTTTGACGAAAGTGAAAACAGTGTGGTACAGTTGTGTTGTTACAGTACAGCAACTATTGTTTGAAAGCGACGACACTTTAATGTTATCTGTTGCAAGCATGTGTTGGACATAGGCGATGACATGTATTAGTACTTGTGTTTAGTACTAATATTTGTACTATTTTTGTGAGACCCTNGCGACGACACTTTAATGTTATCTGTTGCAAGCATGTGTTGGACATAGGCGATGACATGTATTAGTACTTGTGTTTAGTACTAATATTTGTACTATTTTTGTGAGACCCTTGCCTTGGTGGTTGCTATTTAACGAGCTGATGAATAAAGCTTGTCATTATTTGGCATTATTCGTTAATTGTAACCCAACTGAAATTGTGGATTCAGGAAGTCTCAAGGGTGACCGCGTCCGTTCTATATATACAGGTGACCGCTGTATGCAGGTCAACTTAACAGTATATATGAAGGGCGATTTTTGGGAAGTTGTTCATTGACCGTTATAAGCCTTGGTCAAACGGTGCATGATAGTTGATGATACTGTAGTCGGTGAAAATTCGGGCAGAATCATTCAACTATCATCGACTATCATGCACCGTTTGGCCAGGCTTTTTTCCCTGCCAAGCGGTGCATGATAGTCGATGATAGTTGAATGATTCTCCCCAAATTTTCACCGACTATCATCAACTATCATCGACTATCATGCGCCGTTTGACCAAGGCTTTAAACACAGGGTGACCGCTATAAACAGGGCCGTTATATACAGGTTTGACTGTAATTTGGCTTTCACAAATATACGAAAGAAGGTATTTCCGGAAGGTACTGCTACCAAGGCAAATACGGGGAATACTTATCAGCAGAATTGTCCGATTACAATCGATCAGTTGGGGCAGTTCAGTTATTTCGGATCATTGATTTTATGGAGTCTCCAAGCTGTTCCACATGATCGACAAGGGATAATCGCGAATGTACCAATATTAAAAACGGCAATACTTAGCAAGATTACTAACTTTAAATTGATGAAGAGTACTTCAGCTTACCAACAATCAAGATAGTTGACTGTGAGTTGCCTTCAGCTTGCCCAGATAAATCAATTAGGTAATGTGAAAGGCCATTGAAGGTTTAGCGTTTGGCCGAGAAGGGACTGGGGTCGAAATTTAGAAGGTTGGAACAGGAACTCCACAAAACATCCGGAACATTAATAGCACACAAGACGCAGGAGGGTCCCTTGGACTGAGGTGTAACCTTTGTTGACGTTGGAGCAGCACAGCTT